ATATATTATTTTCATCAGCGGAAAAATGAAAATCAAGCGAAATAATGGTATATCTCATAGGAAAAATGACTGAGAATAATGTAATAATGACTATAACAAGAGAAGAAATCACTTTATGTTTTAGTTATATATATTATTTTGATCAGCGGAAAAATGAAACTCAAGCAGAATAATGGTATATCTCATCGGAAAAATGACTGAGAATAATGTAATAATGACTGTAGCAAGAGGAAAAATGACTTCATCATCTTGTTATATGTGTTTTATCCTCAGCAGAAAAATGAGCATCGATCAGAATAATGGTATTCCGTATAGGAAAAATGGTGTGGAATGATGAAATGATGACCACGAGAAGGGGAAAATTGATTGCATGTTAGAATTTTTGTTTTGTTATAGCGGCAATATGGAAATGGATGGGAAGAATATAAATATCCGAAGGAAGGTTATTTGGATCAATCGAATTTAGGTTGTATGAAGAAAAAGAATTTTTTGGTGTTGTATGACCGAGTACTATTCGGTGACTTAAATATGTCTCATGTGTTTTAGTTTATGAATAGTTTCAATTTTTTTTTCAGTGCATGTGTTTGGGAGTATTTGGTTATATATTTTGTTGATTGGTGCTTGTTGGTTTCATTTATTTTTTTTAGAAAAAATATTCTTATACTGGGTATATGTTTTTCGAGATGGTGAAAGAATACCTTTGTTATAGTTAAGGAGTATCTATAATGACTGATTTTGTTTTCGATAGGGATGCTTCTTCTTGATTGCATATTAATAATATTCGTCACTCTCGTCATCTAGACATTGCTTCACTTGATTCCGTTCAACTGTGGATGTTGATTCTATTGTTTCAGATGCAATGTGTAAATCGGTAATGTTCTCCTGTGGTGTCGTTGCATCGAATATGTTCAACAGTCGATCCATTGCTTGAACTAGTTCAGTATCAGTTACATAACCATAATACTCTCTTTCAAATATTTCACTTAAACGTGCAAGTTCTTTATCATCAATTTCATCGTAATCTGAAAAATGTGTTGAAGGAAATTATTGAGTTGCATCTTCATTTGAGAAACATACCATTGAATTTATATTGTGTTTTACATACGTACTCAAGAATACTTTCGATGACCAATTGTATTTGAAGTATACGTTCATCTTCATCGGGAGTGCCACTTAAACGCATACGTTTGAATTCGACAAGCACGTCATTTTGTTCTCCTTCCCATTGTGTAATTGCATAACGAAGACCTGATTGAATATCCTAAAATGCAAAACTATAATAATGGAATTGAAATATTAGCTCTACCTGTTTGGTATTTTGAAGATAATAGTTCCAATTTAATTGATATACGCTTTTAGGTGAAATAACTAAAAACACATGAATTTGCAACATAAACAATATTAAGTTGATCTTACGTCGCTGAGCCTTGTAAAAGAAATCTTCTTCGACTTTATGGTCATCTGATCCCATTTGTTCTTCATCCATCCAGTTTTCAATCTCTGCATTATATACCAATGCAAGCCCATACATTCGATTGTTTTCGTTGATAGCAGGCGGATTCAATCCCAATTCTTGTAAACGGTCAAAGATTTGCTCGTTCGATATTGACATTCTCTGAAAAAATGATAAACCATGTTTCAGTCAATAAAATAAATAGTAATCTGTATGTATTTAACATCATTTCATTAGTACAGAAATTTTCATTTTTTTTTCATAAATCTACCGTCTGTAGTGGTAGTTAATTATGCCAATCATAGTCAAAAATTTTAAAGTCTTTTAAGTTTTTTATCTCGACGTTTATCAACAATATTATGGTTTTTTCGGATCATTGCAACCTGTGACGTCCAATCAGTATTTGTGGGTCCTAGTAAACAGACGTTGTTTGTGTTTTTATTTCCACTATCTGTTTGTTTTTCACTTTTTGCAGGACTTGTACATTTTAAATTTAATGATGAGTTCGTTTCAGGAACTTGTGTAATCCTTTCGCTATGTGGAAGACTTGCATCTTGAACTACATGACATTGGTTAACCTGAATAAAAAAAATTCAGTTCTATAAGTTTTTCAAGCATCTAGTCACTTACTATATCAAATACTCGATTAGGTCGAACATGACAATGAGCTAGATTTTTCATGTGAAAGAGTAATAGAAGAAATACTGGTGCTCGGCGCCATCCTAAAGCACTGATAATGGAAGAATACTTCTTTAACCAACTGAAATTTTGTTCAGCAGCTTCTGTATTCACTCCATCAAGTACTATAAATTCTGAATGTATTTAAGATGCGATCGAATGATAACTTACGTCTATTATCAGCTGGATTCATGTTAGCGAGACACCATTTTCCGATATGGTTTTTAAAATGTGTTCTATCCACACTGAATTTAACATTCGATAGGGTTAGTGCTGCATCAGTTGCTTTTAGATCTTTTCCAATATGTTTATGTAAGTATTGTATCAAATGACAACCATCATCATAACATCCAGCAGATGGAAATTTACCTGCCACTAAAATACAACGTCTTTACAATTATTTAACTAGTTAGACATACTCACCACGAATAGTTGAGAAAAGCAAATGAAGAATTTCACGGAGCGTTTCGCTTCGAAAAATTTCACCAAATGAAACGAATACTCGACAATTTGTAATGCTTGCAATCAATCCAAAGGAACGTGAGCAACGACGGACATATGCATCTGACCGTGATTTGACCGTTCGACAACCGGTAGCTCCAAATCCTTCTTGTCGTCTCTTCCGACTGTTTTTATCTCCTAAATTCCTTCTTCTAAACTGAAACCTATATCTATTCGAAATTGAACTTGATGTTTCTGTCGGCAGCTGATGATCATGATGAAGAGAACAGTAATGAGACCGAGGCATAGGACTTCGACAACATCCGATTACAAGCTTCTCAAATTCATCTGTTTTAACTTCAACATCTTTGTATCGGCAAACTCTACGTCGACATTTTTGATGCCCGTCGATAATAACAGCAGCTGAACATTTATCACTGCACGGACCTATAATCTCTTTATGTGAAGACCATAAGTATATAAACCAAGACAACATTTTTGGATAATTTTCCCATGACCAGGTAGTAAAATCACGCAATGACATTGGAATCATAACTTTTAAACAACCCATCGTTAAATGGAATTCTAACACTTTGTACATATATAGAGATTGGGCTAGTCGTTTCCAGTACAAGGGTTGTACTTGCTCCAAATCTTCATTAAATGCTTCGAGATTCAAGGTATCAGAAGTTTTCCACCAGGAACTTGCATTGCTTACGATGTTACATGAATAAGTATTAATAATACATCTGGCAATTGCAAAATAACCACCCATGTATACAAATCTTCCATGGTATAAAGATGTGTATGTATAAATATGTTCTTCATCTACACGTATAAAATTCGGAAAGATGAAATAGTTTGGTGATCTTTTATGTGATCCAAAATGTCGGCATTCAAGCCAAAACACCGTCCCTACAAAACGAGGTCAGGTTCAAGTCAAATTAATAGAAAACATCACAATTTACCGAACAATATCTTTCCTTGTTCACATATAACTTTAACTTGACGACTGTGACTATCATTTGCTGATAATTTTCTCTCACACAAAGGACAGATATCGGTGAATGGTATTAGATGTATAAAAGTACTGTTTGAAAATAAGTAATCATCAATCAATTTGTCTTGAAGAAGCTGAATGTCAGGTCGAGAATTGAAAAAGGCCAAAACACTTTGAATTATTGCATTACTATGCTCTGTTCCAAGGCGATTTCTTAATGAATTAGTTATATTAATATCACGATCACGATCATAAATTGACCAACAACGATTAAGATAGAATGCAGATATCAGTTCATGTGGCAAAAAGTACTTGTACCACCATGTCAAAGCTTCGATGATATCAAGAGATGTTCGTGGACCATTTTTCACGATATTCATTGATGAACAGATTCTATTCGAGTTTTTCTAAACGCATGATACATATATTTTATTTCTTCCTCTTTAAAGATCAATTTTTAATTACTATGTATTTACTAAAAATACTGTTTTTCTATATTGAGCTTAAACTATTATTTATAGAATACTTTGTGTACATCTCTTACCGTTTCCATCATATACACAGAATTCAACATTGATATACCGTTGTTGGATTGATTATCACTTGCGAATTGTATATTCTCAGTTGAATTTAATATGTACTCGTCAATTGAAGCTGATGCATTTAAAGACAAATTCTTCATTGTCATTGTTTTATTATCGACCGAATCCTACTTGGAAATTATGATAATTCAATATTTTTCGTCATCTTTAATATACATACCATATGATCTTCAATTTCCACATAGCCATTTTCGCGATATTCATTGTTATTTTTCAAACCAAATAAACATTGACCGATTTTCATTGAGTTTTCAACAATTACATCAATTTCACTATCAGATAGCTCCATACTATTCATCTGAAAACAAAAGAACAAAGCAGTAACAATGATATGTAAGTCAGTTTTTACTAATTCTACAATAAAACAAAAGAAAATATGCATCATAATTTAACAGATGTTTTTCGAAGCTAGTTTTTATTTCGTAATCGATGCGAAATTGGACTAATGTTTGGCTTGAAGACCACATGATACTTTTTATTAGCACTAAATTTTTGTCCATTTTTGTAAGCACTCTTCTTTGATTCTTTTACGTCATCGATTGGTTTAACAACAACTGTAGTTGCATCATCATCTTCCATCATTGCACTCTGATTGTCCATCATGGTGTTGCCAGTACTATTACAATTAAGTACGGAGCTTTCTTTGAGAGTATCAATCACTGCAATGTAATCCATAAACGTGCAATTCTATATCATTGTCATATAACAGGGAAAAACTTACTTTCAGTTTGATTTTCAGGAGCATTCAAAATATTATTTGAGGCTAATTGAGAATTTTCTAAGCAAAACATATTTTCAAAAAAGCAGTTCATTGAAACCAATATTACTTACCATCAGATGAATGAGTCCTATTATTATCAAATATATTATACAAATCTAATTGAGAATATTCTGAATGAGAAACATTTGAAAGAAACCATTAACGAGAAGGTCTATCACCTACCATCACGTTGAGATATTTTCTCACAAAAATCATTTCCAATCGGCCAGATTGTATCGATGTCGCAAGAACTATCTTGTTTTTCTGTAACAGACTGAGCAGTTGTTGCTGCTAAAGTATAATAATCATTATAATATTTAAATGATACACTTATACAATATGAGAGCTGAGTGTCTTTGCCTTTTCAATCTAACAGCCAATTATGAACTACCATCTATTCATGTATCAATTACTTTCCAGAAATGATAAATGTCTCGTCTAACTTAACAGAAAAATCAAGATTAATCACTGTTTAGAATTTCATCTAACATTTAGCACTTCTATGATTCGAATTTCTTGTTCATTTATTTAATTCAGATTTATCAAATTTTTTCTTTTTTCTATATAAATAGCCAAGACAACTACTGTTTTAGTCTTCGAATTTCCAGATCTCCCTACTCTTATTCACTTTCTTATGTACATAATTTTATTTCAATCTTTTTTTCATAAATTAATATTAGTAGCGAATTAATTGAGAAACTATGGAAAGGTTTCAAAAATGGTTTTTCTAATCTTGAAAACACTTATATCAATCAATTACAGTGTGCACTGTGCAGATTCTTATTTCAGAAGCACAAGAAAATTCCATATATTCATGGTATTACAGGTTTTCTACTGAATTCTTCTAGTCGTCTAAGTAGGAACTTGTATATGATCAAGAGAGACTTCTGATTTTTATCAATCTTATAAAACATACCTATTGGTACATTGGACGAACAGGTATCTTCTTCATTTTCGACAGATTGATAATTTTCTATCAAGTAAACGTAGATATTCTAGATGAAGTACAATGTACTTACTAGAACGTTCAATAAGAATGCTCATGTCCAAATTGAGTTCCTTATATTCATGTTGTTGTAACACATTAATAAGCTTATCTGATACTTTTCCCTTTCCATCAATAAGAAGTTCATAACAGGTTTCACGAAAACTTTGTAGATTAAGACCAGATATACCAAATTTACCTAATTTGCATTCAAATTTCATTTGATCATCTGTTGAAAATGGATCAGGTAATCTTTTTACATAAACAGCCGTCCATTTAGAACTAATAAATCCTTTTTTCACTATAAGCAGAAGATCTAATTCAATCAATTTAGCTAATGCTGAACCAAGAATGCTAGCCGATCGTTTTATAACTCTATCGGTATAAAGATTAGATGATGTGAAGACAATGGATCGAAAACAAAGCACTCGTGCCATAATGTCGGTCATACGTGGCTGTAATCGAATAATACGTTTTTGTTTTTTTGATAGATTTTCGCTATCTTGTTCACGTTTTAAAGATGTTAATGCTGACGATGATTGTTTTACTTCTGTAAATCGTTCTTCTGGTGTCAAATACATTACTAGTTTGTATTGTTCAATGTTTCCTGTTATAACATCTCGACATCGTTCCACCATATCAAATTTAATATAATGTTGAATGAATTCATTGTTTTCATCGATAAGGTATTCAGCAAACAAAATTTCTATATATTCAATAAATTCAATTGTAATTTTGCCATTATTAGGAAAATGATCGTATCTTTCAAGATATTTGAGACCAATTGAATAAGCTAATTCAGCAATATACAAAAAACCAACAATTCGATGACAATTTTGCACACTTTTACCCAAACGAGCTGCCATATGATCGTTGTTTTTTTCTGCAGCACCTTCAAAAACAAAATTGTAATTATTTTAATCGTAATGGTATATTAGATATAATTTAAAGATTTCCTATAAGTCCGTTGTCTATTTTATACTAATTATTCCCAATATACGAAACGAAATATTATAATATCCAGAGTTATTTAATTTGTCTTATCGTTCGCAAATTCTAAGAAAGTCTTCTATATTCTTCGAAAAGTTATTTTTAGTTCTTTCAACTACAATTATCCGTTCTATTATCTTTTTTTTTTATTGTTGATGAATATATTTGTAGTCTCTTCACTTAAATTATAGTATATAAAAAAAACGTTATTCCTCTTGAAACAAAATAAAACGAATAATTCATAGCAAAAGTGCTTTACATGCAGTAATGTGATTACTGAATTTTGAAGTTCTTTCTTCTCATATTTATTGTCTCTGCCAATTCAACATCTACTAAATAATATTACGATTTATTTATTCTTTGTTGTGAATCTCAATATCACGGTAAATTAAATTGCTGTCTAAATACATCTTTAATAGGTATGAGCATCATCAATGCGTAGAGCGGTGATAGTGAGAAGTTATGCTCGATCATTTTTTATAATTATATTTTTTAACTATTCTATTTTTTACAAAACTGGCTTTACTTTTGATTCAAGCATAAAGCTGAGTATAAGAAATAACAAACGCATTTTACAAAACATTGCTTTTTCCTCGGCCGCATATAAGTATATTCATAATCATCAATTTCCTTTATTGAACTGACAGCTAACATACTAAAAAGAGTCATACGAAAAACAAATTTATTGTTCTTGCGAAGTGTAATACAAATATGTACACAAGCATAACAATATCAATAATATACAAACTATACAAAAACCACTATCTAAAAATTTTGATCTGACCTGTAATCCATTACTTCAACAGTCTTGTTTCACAAGACTTTTTAATATCTCAGCAATCTTGCATTAAACGCATCTTTCTCGTTAAAACCAAGGAAAACAAAAGACTTTCTTCAAAATCTGGTCTAATTAATACCTTTTAGATAGAGCTACAAGTTTCTGAATGTATTAATTCATTGAAATCAGATAAATCAACTCAGTGTGGTGTCGTTATAGAATTAAAATAATCTTACTTTTCTTCTTGAGATCATCACACCATGCAATCATTCTTTCATTAGCATCTTTATCAAAATATAAGTCAATATTCTCAATAAAACTAATGACGATAGAAAATTGTTCAATTGACATATGTTTGCTGGTATCAATATCTATAATACAAGAAGCAGTGGGTATTACTTCACCATCAAGTGGCCAAATAATTGTGCGTTCAAACAACGCATCAGCCATGGAACCGGATGCTTGGCGCATCAATGCAGAAATTATTAAATCACCTGATACTGCACCCTGTGAAGCATGAAAAATTATATAAACCAAACAACAATTTTAATACTCACCAAAACGTTTAATTTTGCATCAAAAACTTGGATGCTTTCACGTTTTAATCGTCTCGTAAAATTATGCGGTCTATCATATAAGTTAATAATTGACTTCTGCAGTCATTCGTTGACCAATCACGAGACCCAGGTGGTGGCAAGGTATAACCCATTTTCTTCAGTACAACATCAGCTTCGTCAGTGATAAGAAAACGTGTACAGCCATTAAGACTACTTAATAACCCAGCTGCAGTGTTTTCATCAAAATACACAACCTGGTCAAATTCTTCTCCATCTTTCGAAGCTGATTTAAATTTTGATGGTCGGTAACGAACTACCTCATCAATGGATTTTCTCACTAAGTCAAGTATTGGAGATTTTCCATATGCTAAATAAACAAAAACAATTCCAGCTAAACAATTTTTATGACAAGTATCTTACAAGATCTAGCTACCACCAAATTATATAAATTCATCGGTAATGGAAACTTGTTTGCACGATAAATTTTGCTGTTTTCACACATTACAGCCACTACATTCAGTATCACAATCACCATAGCTTCATTGTGCATTTGATTAAAAGACGCCAGATGATCAATATATTCAGCTAAAGCCACAGAAAAACATACGTTTGAAGTAATTTTCAACCGACAAGCTAGACCAAAATTCGATTGAAATCGACGAAACATTTTTAATAGTTAAGAAGTCAATTCGAATGTGAAATATAAATATTCTCTTTCTTCTCTCTCGTATTTCTTTAATGTGAAAAATATTCAAAAAACCTCCAAATACCGACCAATCAAAAAAAAACCATTTTAAATCACCAATCAAATTTAACTTCATTCATCGCTGTTCACTATACAATAGAAAAACAACATTAAGAAAAACAACAAAAACAAATTATTCTGTATAACCAAAACTTCAATTTCCTCCTCTTCCTAATTATTGAAACAGTTAACTTTATAATAAACTTTGAACATATCTTTCGATGAGGCATATTCCTTTTCTCTCTGACGTTCTTCTCATATATACCAAATCATTTTTCCTCTATAGTAAAGCATTTTTCCGCTGTCTTTTCATTTTTCCTTGCCACTAAAAATATACATATATAAATATATATGACAGACATTTTTTGTTCCTGTTCGAGAATTATTCCTATTAGTTAAAATCATTTTTCCGCTGTCTTTTCATTTTTCCTTGCTACTATAAATATACGTATATAAATATATATGACAGACATTTTTCGTTCCTGTTCCAGCATTATTCCTATTAGTTAAAATCATTTTTCCTTTCTAGTAAATCATTTTTCTCCTGCAGTAAAGCATTTTTCCGCTGTCTTTTCATTTTTCCTTGCTACTATAAATATGCGTATAGAAATATATATAATAGAAATTTTTCGTTCCTGTTCGAGCATTATTCCTATAATTTGAAGTCATTTTTCTGCTGCCTTTTCATTTTTGCATTCACTATGCATGTATAGTACAGATAGCTCTCTTTATCGTGTAACAACTTGATGTATATCATCATGCATAAAATAACATTTTTGACTTGAGCGTCTGATTTCCGCTGAAAATAACCATTTTTCCTACCGATGAAATTGTTGCCCACTGCTGAACCTACACACACCCACACCCCCATCCCACTGAAATGCTTTCTAGCAGTTCCATCAGATTACCACTACAGTCATTTCTCAATTCATCGAAGACGTTTTTAAGTCCGACAAACGTGACCGAAAGCGAATTTCATAAAATAAACCGAGTCCACTCTTCATTCACTTTATTGTGTCCTTTCTTCATAATTTTCTCGACTTTACCGGAATCGACTTCGGAGGCGCCACCGGTCGTCTCAGGATTTCGTCGTTCGACGGCAGCACAGGTCGTTTTATCATTTCTTCGTTCGAAGGCGACACAGATCTTCTCATGCTTCTTTGGTTCAAAGGTGAGACGGGCCGTCTCATGTTTCTTTCGTTTAACGGCGACACAGACCATTCTATGATTTGTTCGTTCGAAGGCGATACAGGTCGTCTTGTTATTTCTTCGTTCGAAGGCGATACAGATCTTCTCATGCTTCTTTGGTTCAAAGGTGAGACCGGCCGTCT